CTTGATTTTTAAAACCATTCTATATCGCCTTTTGATTAGGATTTACAAACTTGTTCGAGCAATTTATCCAATAATAATTGGCCCCTTTACCTCTTATGCCTGCTCATGTAAAATATTTGGGCTCCTTACTTCGCCTATTTATATAATAATAATAAAGGGTAGAAAGATGAGTATTGCAACTATGTTAAAAGAAATAAATTGGCTTTCAGTTTCGAGTTATGTTCAGTACATGACTGATATTTATTTATAAAATAAAAGTGACATAGTACCATCGCATCAGATCTATTAGAAAACATTCAATATAATTTGCAATAACACAACTATAATACAAGAAGCCAATCTGACTGTACGGCAAGCCATAACTAAAAGTTCCCAAAATAGAGTTTGTATTAACGGTTTGCAAAAATTTAATAGACTGCCCACAGAAATTAAAAAAAAAACAATAAATGTTTTTAAAAGTAACCTCGAACAATACTTGATAAATAGAACGGATATACTTTCTTGTGATAATACTCTTTAAACTTGCCCCTTTTAAATATTTCCCTAATTTATTATTTTACCCCTCGTTTTACCCGCATTTATTATAAATTATATCTGTTTTGAGATCATGTACCTTATTTTAAAAAATTACTTGATGTTATATTATTACTACCTACTATGTTTAAATTATTAATAGTTTCGCGACTATAGTTTATAGCAACTTATAGCCACAAAACTATTTTTGTGTTAAAGTAGATCCATAGAAAGCAAAATAATTTACAAAGGCCTTCTTTCAACATACAAATAAATGACAACTTTAATTAAAATGAAAAATACAACAAAATACCTCGTTATCATAATTGATCAAAATTTGAAATGGGTTGATCACATTACGTCATTAACAACTAAAGTTAGAAGATTTATTTTTAAATTTTTTGAATTGAGGAAATTTATGACTAGGAGTTTACTAATTATTATTTACAATTCGCTGGTTAAATCTATTTTGCGATATGGTATAATGTGAACTATATGATATTGAACTTCAACTCCTTAATGTAATCCAAAATCGTATAATTAAAATTATCTACAAAAAACCAGCATTATATCCTACCTCTCTTTTATATAATAAAAAAGTGTTTTGTATAGGAACATTATATTATCTGTCTTGCTGCACCTTTATTTAGAGAAAGCCTGAATTGAGATACACTACAAATTATTTGCAATAAACATCAAAAGAATCATACATTTTTAAATAATTTGACATTTAAGAGCTTTCGCACATAACAATTAACATCTTGATACTTGACAGGCGCAGCCAAGCATTATTCTGATTTTTTCCAAATAAAATGGCCGCTTAATTATTCTATGGGGTTGTGACAGAGGGCCAGTAAATTTGATGGTGTTTTTGTGGCTAGGGGCGAAATAGTAGTAAGCTTAAATTAGCACTACCATAAAAAAGTCATTTTTAAGAAACTGCTTATATATTTTTCATAAATTGGCAGGCTTGACGATTATTTTCGAATAAAAATAGCCTTCAAAATGGTTATGGTTGCCAGTATGAAGGTCGCAACCCGCCTTAGAAATCTTACCTTTACAATCAATAGCAGTTGTTTGACAGGTCGTTGGAGAATGTTTGCAATGTATGGAATGTTAAGAATGTTAGGAATGTTAAGAATGTTAGGAATGTGAGACGTTAGAATGATTGGAATTCGTAAAATTAGACACATAAGAAATGCATAGGCGGATTTTAAGAAAATTGATATTAAAGTAGTTAGGATGATCCGAAAATACCGAAAATCAATAGGGTTCTAAGTTAGAAGTAATTATTCAATAAAATCAAAACCGCAAGTCAATCAGAACTTTCGTTCTAGAGCTATCGTACCGGCAGACATACATACAGATGACCAGACGAAAAATTTTTTTTGCATCTTCGGAAACATGAAGAAAAGTTTTAAAAAATAGGGGTAAGAAAAATTTTTCGTCTACACGAATGCAATAATGAGGTCCCATAGGAATGGCCTCAGTAATAAATGAAAATGAGTTTAACAATGGTGTAAAAAAGTTAAAGCCAAAAAAGCAGCGGGAATTGAAAATATTCCATCATATTAAAAAGATGTAGTCACTTGTTAAAAATACCATTGTTTATAATTTAAATTTTAAAAGTTTTTTATTACCTTCGCAATGGAAGCAGGAAAATCGTTAGAAATTAAAAACTATATAGAAATTGCACTAAATTGCTGTCTCAATACTTTTCGATCAAATTATTTATAACAATTTGTTAGATCAGGTACAAAACATCATAGTGGATAAACAGCTTGGTTTCGTTCGAGACAGATTAATTAGTAGTAATTTACTATTATTTTTTTACTGAAAGTAATAATAGTACTATAGAGAAAAAATTACAATTAGATGTTGTATACACTGATTTCAAGAAAGCATTTAATCAAATCCATCACTACACAATATTACAGAAACTGTTAAACTATGAGCTCTCAGTGAATTTTGTTATGTTGTTAAAAAACTATAAAATAAGAAATTTTATATTGAAAGGTTCAGTGGAAACACATCTGGAAAGTATCAATGCGAATTCTGGTATGCCACAAGGTTCGAATCTGGGTCCTCTATTGTTTACACTTTTTATAAATGATTTGTTGAAAAGTCCAAATGTTTGCTTTTGCCAATGATTTTAACAGGTTGAGTGACCATGATTCGAGAAATTGCCATGATTGGAAAACCCAAAATGTTCTGTTTTAATTTTTGGAGACCTCTAACGCGGCCACACATTTGGCATTTTTGTCTAACTGGCCGCAAGAAATCAACGTGCCACTACGATATACATATCTCTACCTTAATTCTTGATTATTTCGGCCCTTACTTGATGAAAATCCGTATTAAAAATTACACGACAACTGTTTCGAAGTACAACTTCTTCTTCAAATGTGATTAATTTACATTTCGGTGTCTAAAATATGTACAAAATAAACTAATTAGTTAAAGAAAAATATATTAATAAAATTCCAATAAGGCATTTAGTCCAGTCAAATTAAACTTTGAGAAAAAAATATTGTTAACAGAACTTTAAAAAGTATCAATGATAATTATAATAAATAAAAAATGCAACCCGAGAGGGGTTGAAGTAAAGTTTTGATAGATTGAAAAGGGGTGAAAAATCGTATATTCGCGATTTCTGGCGACAGTTGACGTCAAAAACAAAAATGTATAATGCAAAAGTTGTAGACCAAGCGAAAATCTACAGCTTTTGTGGGGGTCACTTTTTGACATAACCTTAAAATTTTCTATAAAAAAGCTCGCTCGAATTTTTTACTTTCGTTTTTTATTTTTCCTTTTTCCAAAAATAATTCAATTTTGATGAAATTTGGTAAAATTACTAGTCTTTGTGTCTTAAAGAAGCAAAAAAAATTAAATAGAAAAATTCAAAAAATTTGAAGATATTAACTATTTTTTTTTAAAAAATTCTACGGTGAACAATTATCGTACAAAGTTCTTCAGGTACTCATTTTTTTTTTTTTCGTTTTGAAATGTAGTTTTTGATAAAACAAAAAATATAGTCACTATTAAAAACATGCTCAAAAAGGGATAAAAACAAAATGGGACCACATTTCCCCATGTCAAACTGAATTCATGAGATTATTTTGAAGGCTTTTAACAAAAAATGCATCTGAATAGTTTTCGACACTAATTTTTAAATAATTATGACTTTGAACTAAAGTTTCTGCACTATCCTATATAAAATAAACTGTGTTTATTTTCTTATCGTTAAGACTTTTAATTACAGATTTATATAAGTTAATATTTAAAATACCTGAAGTTTAAATATAATTATGTTTTTTTAATAGAAAGGTATTTAGTAGACTTCCACATATTTCGGAAAAATATTTTAATTATCTGGACATAGAACATAATTTAAGAGATACGATATACTTTAAAATGGAGACAAGAAAAATAAGGATTTTATAATTATGAACATTAAAAAAATCCTAAAATAAAATACATTTTAATACAAATTTAATTTTAAGCAATAAGAAAAGATTTAAAGAAGTTTTAACATACTGAAAGTAATATTACAAAAAAATTCTTACAAAATAGTGTATAGAAGCGCTAATAAAATAAATTTTATTGTTAGTTATGGCCCATTCATTCTCAGCAACATTTTAATTATTCTTATCAGTATTTGAAAGGGTTTGGTAAAATCTATGAAACATTTTTGATAGACATGGTAACAAATTTTAAAGGTCCTTGTAATTTTTATCACTTATAGGATTCAGAACATTTTTAATAATTGGAATTTCTTCAGGAAAAATCAAACTACGGGATACGTAATTAACCAGAGTGTATACTAATTGAGTTATTTTGAAAAACTGTCCCGGGAAGGGATTGAAACCTCCACTTCCGCGCTATACGGACTTGAGTATCAGGACCTGAGATGTCCGGGTTTTCCTCATTTCTAAAACTATTTTTCAAAATTGCGGCTGAAGCAAACACTCTCTAACAACCCAACAAATATTTTTTATCCAAAAAGCTCTGTTGGAATAAAATGAATAAATTATCTGTCCATTGAACTAAGTGTCAAAATATATGTTATCACTTCCACCAGGTTACGCATGGGCCATGTCTTACACATCTATAATACTTACTACATTACAAAAGAAGCACCATAACATTCTAATTACAACATTGTGTCTACGTCTAAGACGTCTAGGAAACAGCAATTTGTTGCGCTTGTCACTACTTTCGTTAATTAATTAAATTCAGCTATATCTATTATAAAATTTAATCATTTTGAACTGTTGAGTTATACGTTTTAGTTTTCAAATCAGTCAACTTTTATTTATAATTTTGTATAGATAGCTATTTTTAAATAAATAAACGCAAAGCAATGTACCAACTTCGCTAGGATTAAAAAAATTAATAAAGAGTTACTTTGTACTTTTTTTGCAGTAATATTTTTTTACCATTTTTAAAAATTACTTGCAGTAAAATTATGATTGAAAATGCCTTACCTGCGTAAGAAAATATCGGATGATCATTACTATGGTTGTAAAATTTAGTCCAAAAACACAAGGTAAACTGCTTCAAATCTGGAATTTCGGTTTTGTACTGGATATATTGGAAGTAGAGATCCTGCGTGAAACCTACTTTATAAACTTGGCACTGGTCTCTGCCTGGTACGCCGCCATGTTGATATCTGGAAAATCGTTAATTTCCATTAAAAACGTATAATGATAATTGACGTAAAGGCAGGAGATTAATGTTAAATTTAAAATGTATACCACTGGAGAACATTCCTTGGATTAAAAAATTAATATTATTTACAAAAGACAGTGTCCTACAGCTGGAAATATAGCTCAATGGGATTACAATTCGAGTTACGTACTATAATTTTTCTATATTATTGCAATTAAAGGAATTAGTTTTTTTATTTAACGATTATTATAAAGAGATTATGTAGTTCTTTAAATTAAGCCATAAGGAATAAGGACGACTTTTATTATTATTTGGTCTGCCGTTCCAGAGCGACTTACAGATGACTAATGGTTCCATTTAACTTATAGGTGAGGGAAACTGGGGAAAGCCCTTCAATTATCATCGAAACGGTACTCTGAAAATTGTGATTTTACGTTCGGTTATGTAGTTGTAATTTTCATTTAGCCCTAATTAAGTAGGGCTCAAAATTTTACATAACTTTAACTTAAGAAAATATAGAGTCCGATAATAAATGTAATTTAGATGTAGAAAGTCTTCAGTTGAGTACAGTCATAATTTTCAAATAATGCAATTGTAGCTTGTAGTTTTGATCAACTTTACGTTTTATTTATCTACGAGGATAGTTCACGAATTATTGTCCCCAACATGGTTAGGCGTTGAATGACAAATGCAAATGCAGTGTCAGGCAAATGCTTATTGTTTGACATTAGCGTATGACAATTGGAATCAGCACATCAGTTCGTGTATATTGAATATTAATTTTTTTCATTGAGTTGTGCGTGATTTTATAAAAATGGATAAAATTGAGATAAGAGGTGCGAGTACCTCTTTAAAAAGAAATTTATAAGAAGATGGTAGAAGTATTGGGCGACTCTGCCCCTTCGTACCCGATAATCAAGAACTGGTCACGAGATTTCAAACTGGAAAAAGAGTCCTGTCAACATGCATAAAGTGCCGGAGCCCCCAAAATTGTGGTGACCAAAGAAAATGTGAATTTAGTCCATGACATGGTATTATATGATAGAAATATTACAGTCAAGGCTATAGCAGAGACATGAAGGTTTTCTGTTGGAAGCGTTGAAAAAATTTTACATAAGGAATTGGGCCTCAAAAAACTATCTGCACGTTGGATTCCATGAATGCTGACGGCAGATCAGAAGCGAATTCGCCAGGTTGCAGCGGAGACAAATTTGGAGATCATTAACAGGAATCCCGATGAATTTAAGTAAACATTTCTTACGGTCGACGAAACATGGGTTCATTACTTTGATCCAAAATCCAAAAAACAAAGCATGGAATGGCGGCATAGAGGTTCCCTTCCCCCCTCGAAAATTTCGTGTGGTCCCATCAGCTGGTAAGATCATGGCTACAGTTTTTTGGGATTTTGAAGTTGTTATTTTCGCAAATTATTTATCGCGTGGGCGCACCATAACAGGTGTATAAATTGTGTATACTTTTAAAATTCCAAACTTCGTAAGGAAGGTTGAGAGACCATTTTAACTGTCAACTGTCAAGACTAATGAACTTTCTGTCATCTGTCAATATTGTCATTGGTTCTGTTTATACGGCAAGCGTGTTCGGTTAATACTGCGCGTGCAAATCAAATATGAGGTATATTCCTTTTCATTGAAAATATCGTTCCATTCAAACAAATCACTGGAAAGAACATGCTCATCTATACAGATAGCAGACAAGCACTATTCATCCTGAACAGACCACGAATTTACTCAGGGTTAGTACTAGACTGTCACGAAGAAGTATCCATCAACAATGTGGTAACCTTAAGATGGTTCAATGGTCAGACCACATCGAAAGGTAACCGTCTTGCTGATTCATTAGCCAAGAAAGGAGCCAACCAAATACTTTTTGGATCTGGCCCTTCTATTGGCCTGACAAAATCGGTAGTGACAGACCTAATTAAAGAACATTACCTTGTAAAATTCAAGGAAAGATTGGATGAAACAAGAAACTGCATAGTTGCCAGAGAGCTCTTAAGTTATCCTGACAACACTGCAGCAAACAAATACTTGACTATGACTAGACAGAATCTGCGCCTAGTCACAGGTATTCTGACTGGTTATTGCCACTAATTTTTGTTATATATAATACCTTTTTACAATCACAACCATCATGTGACATGTTATTTCTACATCTGCTTTTATCTCAAATCACAATTTCTTAAAATTATTAAAACTGTATTATATAATTGTAACTGTATGTGTAAATATTTTGAACCATATGAGTGTTTCCGGATAGGTGAAATGACTCTTGAAAAAGGTACACAATTCTCTATTAAATTTTTTTATTTCTTCGGGTTCAGCCCTGCTTGATTAAATAATTTTAGTTTTGAGAAATCAAGGATGTCTTGGAAATTTTCAAAAATCATTTTTTTCTTCAGAATAAAGTGCCTTTCAGATATGACCAAAAGTTATAAAGAATAGTTGTTTAGAATCACTATCTAGGTCTATATACCAAATTTGAAAATCCTCTGTCAACTATGATTTTTTATTTATTTTGTTAATATGGAAGATCAAATTTGGCCGAGGATTTTGTAATTTGGAATACTGAATATTTTGATTTCAAGTCATTTTTCTAAATAATTTTTTAACGTATCTGTTACCGAAAAGCCGCTATCTTGATAAAATAAATGAATAAATCATAGTTGTTCGAGGATTTTCAAATTTGGTAAATCGACCTAGATCGTCAATTTAAACAACTGTTTTTATAATTTTTCGACAAATCTGCATCATAAAAAACACTTTACTCTAGAGTAAAATAATTTGATGAACATTTCTGAGACATTCTTGACTTCTCAAAATTGAAATTATGTTGAAAATTAGTCTTTAACAAAACAGGGCTGATCCCCAATAAATTAACATTTAAATCAAGAAGGCCTTGCGTCAATTGAATGATCTAATCGGTTATGTGTTTAACTAGAATAAAAAAGCAAACATAACTTAGTTATTTTAAAATTATTTTAATAATAATTGTTAAACATAAATATCTAGGATCTAATTTACAACAATTGCGGAAAGTAGCATATTCGCACACGGGTGGAAAGTAAATTCTTATTCATACGCGTGTGATATATGGCAATTTCCATAAGACTGTATAGTGTGATATGTGTCACTTTCCTAAGTGGTCGTAAGAAAAAACAGTTTTCGCCTTTTATTTTTGTTTTATATAGATTTAAAAATTATCGTATCAACAAATAAACTAAAAATTTCTTTACTGTGCCCATTTTGCTACTATTAATATTTTTTAAGAATGCTTTTTCAAACATCGTATATGCTTTTATAAAAAATAAAATTGTTATTTTGGCAAAAATAACTTAATTACCTAAAGGTGTAATAATTAAAAAAAGAATATTTACTTACTGTACTTGCTCTTCTTGATAAGTCTCTAATGGTGACTGTTGAATTCCCTGATATACGTCATGGTGTTGATAAGGATGCCATGAATCTGGATCATGGACCCCTGCGGTGCAAGTTAATACTAGACATAAGCCAAGATATTTGTACATGTTAAGTTCAAGTGCTTCTGGATTATTAGGATGGCCAGTTACTGTTTTCTTTGGTTATGTGTCACAAGCTGCTTGCATATGTCATCTGAAAAATAAAATTATATGAAATCAAGATAAAAACGTAGCAATCCATCAACGATCAATATTTCCAGTAAAAAAATCAGTTCGTATTTGCTATTTTTTTTTGTATTTTAAAGTAATTTTTATATATTTTTTTTAATCATCACACTATATAATATTAATATTTTTTTTTTAAGAAAGGGTTTAACAAGCTTCGCTTGCAGAAATATTTATTGCTATTAATTATGGTTAATTTTTTTTAATATCGTCATTAAAATAATAAAGAAAAACATGTTATGAAGTAGTTAACCTAATTAACAGGGAAAATGGTATGAATATTGTTTAATGCTTTGTAATAATTTATAATTAAACAGAGAAATGAAATATTGCTTTGGACTAATATATATTTTTACATAACAATAAGTATGTATTGCCTTTGGTTTTGTAAAGTGATGTGGTATTTTATATTAATTAACATTTTTTTGCCGTTATGTTGTGTAGTTTATCCTCGGTTTTATTTGCAGTTGAAAAAGGGAAATATTTATGCAACTCGTGTGTAAAGGCCCTTTTTCGACTCGTGTGATTGTCGCATGAGCCGTAGGCGAGTGCAACAACATTCAGGTTCGTCCAAAAAGGGTAAATTTACACACTTGTTGCATACTATATTTTTTTTACTACCTTACACATTATCCACTAATATTAGAAATATGAAAGTTAGTTTTTTCACTTTACGCACTAGTGAAAAAAGTACAACTACAATATATTTATTTTGATTTTACAATAAAACATAATTTTTTATAAAATAATTTTGTTTGTCTAAGTAATACATTTAGAATAGTTGTAAGTACAGAATACGGTTCGTAAACTACTACGGTGGTCTCTTCCCATTGATAAGGAGTGGCAGGGATATATTAGAAAAATTATAAACGAGATGACAAAAAGTATTTTGTTGATGTTTGTACAATATTTTTTTTTTTTTAATTTCCAATTTTGTTATTATCGAGTGGCGATTATAATTTTTCGATGATTTTAAAGTGTTTGCATAGTTTTTATAATATCAATAGGTTATTTAAAAGATAAGCTACAAAACAACAAGCCGACCTCGAAACATTTATATCTTTTAAATCCTGAAATAATTCAATTAATAATAGAATTTATATTATTATTTCGTTTACATTTACAAAATAAACCATACATTTTAATAAAAACTATATGAAATCAATTAAATTACGAGTAATTTCATTTTCTGCAGTGTTCTTATTACTTAAAATGGATATGAAATATTTTCATTCAGTTGAACGCAATAGCAGTAGTTTTGTGCGTAGATTAGCTTATATCCGTGTGGGTGTAGAAACACTACTATTCTCTACACATGTATATGAGGTGGACCACCAGAATCTGCATCGATTGATATATCAAAAACTGAATGCAGGAAAAATTTGAAAATATGGGAACTTGCTAGATATCTTGAATATGTTCATCTATTAGGAACTTTTCATTATATCGAAAATAAATCTTAGGTCGCTTATTTTAAATACAATAATTTATACATTATTACATTTTTTGAATTCTACTCAAAATTCTAGGCATATTTTATGTCCTGTACCTAAGTCAAAGCGTTTTTGACATTGTTTTTATGTCAAAAATTACTTTTCCAATTATCAATTGTTTCTATAAGGAAGTTTTTATTACTTATCTTAGGTTGGATTCCCAGATTTTCAAATTTTTCCTACATTTAGTTTCTGAGATATAGATCGATGCAGTTCCTGGTGGTCCACACTATATACAGGGTGTCCAATAGTGTGTGGAAGTTTGATATATCCTATATAGCCTCTGTATATTTCAAAAGAAACAATCGAACATCAAAATTTTTTGATGAATCATTTTTAATGATAGTCTACTGTTATAAGAATATACTAATTTTTTTCCTAGCGCAACAGACGTGTACAGGGTGAGTCAAAACTCAGATACATGATTTTCTCAATTTTTTTAAAAGTAACACTCTGTATTTCATATCACTACTAAAAAGTACTCTAATTATACGTTCGTTTGAGTTAAATATTGCCTATCCCAAAACACAACAGTCTAGCGAGATTCTTTGATGAAATGTTAAAAACGGTTAATTATAACTAAATTCACAATGTAATTTGATTTAAACTCCTGTTAAAATATACTGTTTAATCAGTTTATATTTTTAAGGTACATAGCTACAATTTATTATCAACTGAATTTACTTTATTTACTTTTAAGGTTAGGTTCACCCTGTATTTCATATCTCTACTAAAAGTACTTTAATTATACGTTCGTTTGTCCCTATCCCTAAACACAACAGTTTAGAAGATATTTTATATTTGAATGAAAAAAATATGAGTCAAAAATAAGTTGTTTTAATTTTTTTAGAATGCAACATTAGTATATTAAAAAATGAAAAAAAAAGCTATTATAAAATCTGCTCAAAGTGACTCTCTCCAACTGCAATACAATGTTGTAATCTAGCTTCAAATTATCTTTGAACGTTTTTCAAACATTGTACATCTATACTCGCGAACACTTGTCTTATTCTTTCCTTCATTTCCTCGCTAGTTAATGGACTAGTTTTATAAACCTCGTTTTTTACGAAACCCCACAAAAAAATCTACTTTAGTGAGGTCAAGGGACCTGGGAGGCCACATAACTGGACCATCTCTTCCAATCCACCTGTTTTCAAAATTGTGGTTCAAAAAAAAAAAATAGTCAAAAATACATATAATAAAAAAATAGATACTTTAGAAACTCAGGTATTTTGATAGCTGTAAGTCAAAATATAATAATAATAATGTAATCATGTGACAATAGTGGATAAAACAATTAAAGAATTATGGATTACTACAATAGTCTGGCCTTTTGGTTTTATCCAGTGCCATTAAAAAAAAAAAAGGGGGACCTGGGAGGCCACATAACTGGACCATCTTTTCCAATCCACCTGTTCTCAAAATTATGGTATCATCATGTAATATTCACATTCGGCGTCTCATATTTAGTGGAACATTTTCCAATAGTAGTGGTAGATGATTCTGCAGAAAGTCTAAGTAGACCTCGGCAGTTACACGACCATGAAAGAAATGTGATCCTATAACATAGTCCTCTAATATACCACCCCAAACGTTAATAGACCATCGTGTTTGGCTATGTGTAATTAATTTATAAGGATTGTTGGTGAAATAGTTTTTATGAAAAAAAAATAATTTAATTTTTAATGCCCTCTATTGCCCATTCACAAAAAGCTATTCTTTTTTGAAAATCGTTTTCAAGAAGCTATTGATCACATTGGATATGGTATGGATGTACTTTATTTTTTAATAATGATGCGTGTACTAGTGTTTGGATTTTCGGTAACACTAAGTAGAATACTGAGTTCATTTTGTTCATTTAAAGTTCGTTTTTCTCTATCATTTTTTTGATATGCTTTACCTGTACGTTTGACTCTTTCCAACAGATTTTAAAAAATTTCATTACGAGGTTGTCTGCGATCAGGTTATTTTTGCTTATAAATTCTAGTTGCCAACAAGCAATTTTCATCACTAGCCCCTAGCACTAAAATCATATCAGTCAATTCATTCGTTTCAAAATTTATTTTTAAAATAGTCAAATCAGTACACGTCTGTTGCGCTAGGAAAAAATTAGTCTATTCTTATAAAAGTAGACTATCATTAAAAATGATTCATTACAAAATTTTGATGTTCGATTGTTTCTTTTGAAATATACAGCGGGTTGAACCTAGTACGATTTTCATATAAAATTGGTTTAAACTTCCAAACTACCCAGTATATCCTCATACATGTTGGTATTTTCTTGAAGGGCAAAGTCAGTGAAATTCAAATTTACAATTAAATACAGGGTGGTCCATTTAAAAAAAAAAGGTTTGATCAATTCTGAAGTTATGGATCACTCTGTATAATCGAAAATAATTTTGAAATGTGCAAATTAATATTATCTACAGATTTGTAAATAACATTGTTTGATATTTTCTATAATATAGGATATATCGAACTTCCACACACTATTGGACCACCTGTATATTACCATTTTATGACCCGACTACTTAAAGAATGAGTAGGCCATATCACCAATTTACTAAAATTTCATTTTGTAAGGATACGAATTCCACCAATTACAGTGCATATTATTGGTTACCAGACTACTATTATTTTTTGTAAATGACAATTCTGTCAGAATATTTTTTAGTTGTTGAAATTAAATGTAATTAATAATGAGCAATTCTTGTGAATAATAATTGATAAATAATGGCATTCCACTAGATATTTGTTATTTACAAAGAAAAGTACACATAGAAACTTCTGCAAATCTCTAATTATAGACTAAACAACTTTTTCAACTCGATAATGGGATTAAAGAGAAAAAGAACTAGTTTTTTTTTATGCATGAGTAGCCATTGTACGATAATAATCGGCTAAAGATAAATAAAGATTAGTTGTAGAGCAACAGGAAATCAAGTCCTTGCTGATAATTCAAATAATCGTACTGAATATGTTATTAGATGTTTATCGATTATATTCACATGCTGTCTAACTACTGTCAAATAGTATATAATTAGAAAATAATTTTTTCTATTTGATTTATTCGGACTAGCTCATTCATTGGATTGTATGTAATTACGGCAATTTATTCTTTTTTTTGTAAATAGGTAATAGGTTGGCAGAGAAATTTAATGAAACATTTCTTATATGCAGGTCAGTAAGATAAATGCGAATTTTGATACCTTATTTTTAAAATAAAACAAAAATACATTTAATATTAAGAGGAACTAAAAAGGTTAACGGCTGTGTGCACAAATTATCGAGTAAAATTTTTAAATAATAAAAGAAGAATTTTTTTATACGAAGATTAGCGGTATGGTATATACCAGTGCTCCGCAACCGGTGTGCCGCGGCACACTGGTGTGCCGTAAGCCGACTTGAGGTGTGCCGCTCTTGCAGACAATACGAATCAGATTCGTATTGTAGCGAGACCCGCGAAAAATAAAGC